CTGATGACTCCTAACTTGTGCTCCAAAGGGTGATGGGAGTCAAACTGCAAATACTGGTCTGTGTGGGTGGGTTTGTGGTACACCTCAGTTTGCAAATGTCCTCTATCAGAGACTGAGACCTCACAGTCCAAGAAAGCCAACCTGCCATTTTTTACATCTTCTCGTGTGAACTTGATGTATTTATCCACAGAGTTGATGTGGTCAGTAAAATGTTGGACTTCCTGAGATTTGATTTTAACCCAGGTGTCGTCACTCTGGGCCCCTGTGCAAGGCCCTTAACCCCCACCATCTGCTCCCCTAGATAGCAGCTCTCTGCTCTACACAGAGGGCTGTGGTAGCTCGGTGGTCTGTGGTTGTCTTCATGCGACTTAGTTCACTGTGTCAACCCCTGAAGAAGGGAGCAGCTGAAAGAAGAAAAAAATATGTAGAGCTGCTGCCTCTCTGCGAGAAGGTCGCCAGTTCAAATCCCGGTCCAGGGGCCTTTCTGGGTGGAGTTTGCATGTTCTCTCCATGCATGCGTTGGTTTTCTCCAGGTATTCCAGTTTCCTCCCACAGACCAAAAACATGCATGTTAGGCTGATTGATAACTTTAAATTGTCCCTAGGTGTGAGTGAGAGAGTGAATGGTTGTTTGTCTTGTTTGTCTCTGTGATGGACTGGAGACCTGTCATGGGTGTCCCCCGCCTCTCGCACAGTGACGGCTGGACATGGACACCAATGACCCCTGTGACCCAAAAAGGCAGAAGCAGGTAAAGTGGATGGATGGATGGATGGATGGATGGACGGACGGACGGACGGATGGATGGCTGGATGGATGGATGCAGCTGAGAGGTCTCTGTTCTTTGGTTGATGTTTCAGAGCACCGAAGTGTTCGCAGCCACTGAACATCAGTGTGAATCGTGCATTTAAAGTGGTACTGCGAACTGAGTGGGACAAGAAGCCGTTCACTAAAACTGTCTGCATGCACGAGGCAACTTTCGTTCAAGTTTGCAGTGGATCCTGACAGCGTGGAGCAGTGTACAAACACCCAGCATCATCAAGAGGTTTTGAAAAGCCGGACTCGTGCACGGTGAAGAGGACAGCTCCAGAGAAAGTTGCGTCTCAAGCGACAAGGGGGACGTGAGTGATGAGGTTTTTCTGGAGGCGTTCAACTCTGACACTGAAGAAGACGTTAGTGGTTTTAGTGCACAGGACAAGCACAGCTTATTTATGTACAAAATAGTGTTTTCATTTTATTTAGTGTGTGCGGCGTATATTCGGGTGCGCTCTACAGATCGGCAACACTGTAGTTTTATTGATAAACTATTGATAAACTGAGCTTGATGAAATCCAATGTGACATTTAAATGTTAATGTAAGACACCTGGACTGAGTGAGCCAGTAAAACAACATCTGATTTTCTATGTATTACTTTGAAGTTTTCCAATTCTAGATGTTTGTCATTTAAACAGAAAAGCAGAAGCAAACAGCCGTGAGGTGCAGCTTAATGAGACTTGGCTTCGTTTAACAACATGACCACGTGTTGTTTGGGCGACTAACTAATCTTTGCTGGGGGGACGGGGTCTACGACAGAGCTCTCCCCAGGATTGTAAAATGGTGTTTAGGTGTTTCTAAGGCGTTCATATATCTAATATATTACTATTATTATTATTAGATATTTAATGTTAACAGTCAAACCCTTCAATCAATGTACAGAGTAGATTGAACAAGTATTTCTTACTTTAAATCAGCACCTATTATTTACAGTCATAGCTGTTGAATGTGGACGGAGAATTGGAAGTGATGCAGCAGACGTTGGGCGTGCACTGCAGTCCCCCTCCACACCAGTAGGTGTTGCTGTGGACACAATGACGCTGCTCCTGCTCAGGAATTTACCCTTTTAGTTACTAACGTGCACGCATAAAACGGGCACTACGTGCTCAAATACCTACTTCTGTGTTCAACTCCAGTCATTGGTCCCGTACACATTAACTTTTGTGTTTAAAATTTGTGTTTAATGATATTTGTACCTTTTTAATTTACCCCCTCATCATCTTTGAGTTACGATGACGTGTTTTTAGGGAGAGCCCAGACACACTAATGTAACGCTACGAGCACAAGGCATCGGCTGGCTAATATTACCAGAGTACTTACAAAAACATAACCGCCAAGACCGAGAGAAATCAACAAGCTGGCACAGGTGGAAGGATCGCCGCGCTATCGGTACAGCAGTCACACTTCAGAACCTTACAACAGTTTACTTATTCATTTTAAAACAAGTCTAAGTTCAATCAAAAATAACTTTAAAATAAATACTCCAAGATGGTACTTACTACAGGATCTTTTACGATATCAATGAGGGAGATTATGTTAGGACCTCCACGCAGATTTTCCAAAATCTTGATCTCACGCTTGATTTTCTTCTTTTTCACAGGCTAAAGTAAAAAATAAATAAATAAAATCATTTTCAGTCAATGACATTGAAGATGTTCAATCCTTTAAAGAGGTGCCATGTTTAGGTCATGATGTAGCCGTACCTTCAGGATCTTAACCACAACCTTCTCGTTATTAGTAATGTTAATGGCTTCAAACACTTCACTGTACTTCCCACGTCCCAACTTGCGCACGAGCTGGAAGTCGTCCTGGTTTCTTTAAAAGGAAGAAAAAGGAAAACTTGATGTCGCTTGAAGAGCTGTCGGACAGAATGAGAAAGCTGATGCCACCAAAATGTTTACCCCCATTCAACTACATGGGACTCGTAGTCCCAGTACTCTCTGGGCCGGTGAGTGTTGACCTCCGTGTACACTCGTGCCCGGCTTGGCACGGGTCCTGACATGTCGGACAGCTTGGCAGAGATGGTGGGAGAGATTCTACTGCACAAGATGGTTTGATGTCGAGGGGGACAGGAGAGAAAAGGTAGGGGATGATCCCAACAGGACAGGGGGGTTGCCTGAGGATGGGGGGAAGGGGAGGGGGAGGGCCCCCAGAAGGAATGTGGGATGGCCTGTGAAAAAAGTGAAAAACATCCATTAAAAAATAAGAAAAAACAATTTCTGATTATGGTGCAGTTGGTAGAGCTGTTGCCTCTCAGCAAGAAGGTTGCCAGTTCAAAACCTGGCCGAGAACCTTCCTGGGTGGAGTTTGCATGTTCTCTCCGTGCATGCGTGGGTTTTCTCCGGGTGCTCCGGTTTCCTCCCACAGACCAAAATATTTTGAGTCTCAATTTATTCTCGATGTCTTCCAACATAAAGCTCAGAAGAAACGAATGAAATAAAACCGTTGATCCGCTCGTTTATATTCTGTCCCTTTCACAACAAGAGCACGTGAAATATATTCATCAGTGACCCCCCCCCCCGAACACACAGAATGTCACAAACACCAAAAACACAACTTGTGAAACCCATTACAGGTGTAAAACACACACCAAATAAATACATAAATGAAATACTTAATGGGGTGGGCGATATTGCTCAAATATAATATCATCATATTTCACAGCATTCTGACAATAACAATAAATTTCACAACATAAAAAAACTGAAATCACAGTTATTTATTTGACAAGATTAACATGTTATAAAATAAAAGATAAAAAAAACAAGGGGTAATTTTACTGAAATTACTTTATTTAGTATTCAGTCTAAAAGTATAACAATAAAAAGATCCTTCTGTTATTTAGATTGAAACAGTCTGCACAAAACATAGATCAATAAATCCACCACAAAAACTGAAGTGCAGGTGCAGTTTCCTAAAATAACTAAATAAATTAAAGCTTAAGATCTGTTGATCATAAATGTAACAACAAAATACATTTCTTTAAATGAGCTGTAACTTCCAGAAGTTGTAACAAGGTGTCTTCATCTGACCCTGAAGCTTGAGGAGCTTCATCTGTTCCTGCAGGAATGATTCATTTCTCTGATCACATGACTCTGATCACATGACTCTGATCACATGACTCTGATCACATGACTCCGATCACATGACTCCGTCTCTGATCACATGACTCCGTCTCTGATCACATGACTCTGATCACATGACTCTGTCTCTGATCACATGACCCTGATCACATGACTCTGTCTCTGATCACATGACTCTGTCTCTGATCACATGACTCCGTCTCTGATCATTTTGCTCCATGGACTGTGGAACTAAGAGACAGACCTGTGCGTGTTTGTACCGGTAGTTTAGAGCGGGGGGATGGAGAGACAGCTGAGCCACGCGTTATTTGTTTGTAGCATTTTAGCTAGCCAGTATTGCACGCAGCTAATTAGCATCACACCAGTACAGACAGGTGGGGGGGGGGGGGGGGGCGCAAAATTCGGTGTAGTTGTTCAGTGCGCTCGGTTCTGTTAACGGGGCGGGGCGCCCTGACGTATTACGTCATGAAATTTGCATATCATGATATTATTTATTTGCCCGGGCAAAGAAACAGGTGCATTAAAAAGGAAGGAAGAATCCCCTGAAGCAACAAAACAACTTTGTTGTTTTCAACCAGTTTGACAAGACTGTCAACCTGCATCATGAAGGACCCCACCCACCCAGCACACACACTTTTTGCCCCACTCCCCTCAGGAAGGAGGTTAAGGAGCATTAAGTGTAGAACCACTAGACTGAGGAACAGCTTCTACCCTGAGGCTGTTAGACTCATGAATCTCTAACTAGAATAATCACTGTGAATAACCATATCATGTTGCTGCTGATCTGTTTCATGTTGCTGCTGATCTGTTTCAATGTTGATGTGTTCATGCGTGCACATCTGCTCACAGACTCATGTTCATGTTTGTGCTGATGTTCAATGTTTTATGTTATGAGTGCTTAGTGTATATTTAGTTGATGTTTTTCTTAGTTCATATCTTGAATGTTATTACTGTTTTTCTTATACATTTTATTGTTGGATGTAACTGGGACCCTGTGTACATAATTTCGCTCCACCACATGTACCACATGAGGTGCGAATGACAATAAAGAAACTCTGACTCTGACTCTGAATAAGGAAGAAGGCCAGCAATGGAGGAGGGGGCGTACCAAAGAGACCATCTTATCACAAGCAGAACTGGTTTGTTCCACTTTGGAGTAAGATGTTGGGGGAAGAATCAGTTTTGTGTTGTGCGTTTCCTTGACTGATGAAGCCTTCTGGATGGAAGGCAAAACGTTTCAGCACAAACAAAGAAACTGTCCAGATGACCTGACTGAAAAATGTTGGATCACCCGAAGCAAGTAACGCCAGCATCAGCTCGGAGGGCTTGCGATCCCCCAAGCCACTCAGGGACAACACACTGTCAGCCCGCTCCACGTCTGACAGTTGGTAAAGCCGCAGCAGGTTCTCCTTGAGCACACTGTACTTGTTGGTGCTTGGTGGGTCCTGCAGCAGACCCAGCAGATGGCGGTGGAACCGCAAAAAGCTGGGTCTGAAAACACTGATGGAGGAGCAACTTCAACATCTGGAGAGTCCTTGTTCGAAAACATGTTCAGATGTTTGGGGTCACCACTGTTCAGATGTTTGGGGTCACCACTGTTCAGACGGTTGGGGTCACCACTGCTCAGACGGTTGGGGTCACCGTTGCTCAGACGGTTGGGGTCACCGTTGCTCAGACGGTTGGGGTCACCGTTGCTCAGACGGTTGGGGTCACCGTTGTTCAGACGGTTGGGGTCACCGTTGTTCAGACGGTTGGGGTCACCGTTGTTCAGACGTTCGGGGTCACCGTTGTTCAGACGTT